ATGGCAGATGAGATTCTGCCAAAACGTTGCTACAACTTTAAAAGCACAACTACAATGACGTGGGAAAATACCCCAACAAAGCTGAATGCCATACATGTAAGTACCTGCGAAAACTTAAGAAAACAAATATAATTTTATATATATCTATATATTTATATCTATTTATATAATTATATATTATATAATTATAATATAATTATTAAGGGGGCAGTACCACCCACTTTGGGAACCACTGCCCTACACCATTTCTGACATATGGCAGTCCAGTCTCTTCTTGAAAGCTTCCAAGGATGAAGCTCCCACAACCTCTGAAGGCAACTTCTGTTCCATTGAATGTAGAATAACAAGAGTTGGAAGGGAACTTGTAGGTCATCTAGTCCAACCCCCAGCCCACCCAAGCAAGAGACCCTAAACCATTTCTGACAGGTGGCAGTCAGAACTTCTGAAGGCAAATTATTTCATCGGTTGGTTGCTTTCCCTGGCTTCCTTTATTTGCTGCAGCTCCGGCTGCAAATCTTCCCTTCCAGGCACAGCGAGGGGCGATCCTGCGGAACTCACGGCCACTGGATAGAGGCACGATTAAAAGGCGAGCGGAAGAGGGAAGAAATACAAGATGTTTCTCGACAAAGGGGCTCGGAAAGGAAGCCGCCCGGCTCTTTCTTCCTTACCTTCTGGGCGATATAGCAAGTGCGGTAAGCGTGAAGCCCCAAGAGCCGGGAGGAATCGGATCGGGAGGCCGCATGGAGGCGAAGATGGGCGGAGAGCCTCTGAGCTCGCCCGAAGTCGCCGACCCAGGCGAGCCAGAAGAGCCACAGCCCCGCAAACACCCACATAACAGGACAGCAAGCGACCGAAATCAAGACTGCCGCGGTTTCTCCCGCTTTTATACCCAGGTTGCCGGAAAGAGGCGGGTCCAAAAAAAAGCCGCCTGACTCCACCCATAGCCCGAGACGGGCAAATGAGCGGCTCTACGCGAGAAGAAGCCACGCCCACCGACTCGATGATTCGCTACCGCGGAGAAAGAGAGAGAGAGAGAGAGAGAGAGAGGGGCGGTGGGAGGAGAGACAGAAAGGCAGGTTGGTGACGGCCTGAGGCAAAAGACTGTGCCTTTCATACTCCCCCCGCTCCCCCCCCCCCACTGTCACCACGTCTTCGACGGTGCTGCTTCGTGGTTGCCACGGCAGGTAGAAACAACGAAGCCCTCCAATTGGCTAGAGAGGGGCGAATGGGCGGGGCTGAGGGGGGGAAATGGTTGAGGCGGGAAAAAAGGGGCGGGCGTTTGAGCAGCTCTCCTCGGAGCTCCTCGCTGATTGGGAGAAAAGGAAGTGTCGTCACTTCCGTCCTGAACTTTGAGCTCTCTTCCGGAAGAAGCCGTGTACCTGAGTTAGAAGGTGTGTTACTTATTTAGGCGCAGCGACGGGTGAATAGTCGGCTCGTTTACATTATTATTATTATTATTTTATTTTATTTTATTATTCTCCACAATAATTTTTAAAAAAATTTTTTGACTAGGAAGACGGGGTTGAAGTTCCTCCTCAGCGATAGAATCTCCCTGGGGGGCCTTGGGCCAGTCCCATTCAGCCCGGCCTACCTCACAGGGTTGTTGTTGTCGTCTTAAAACTAGGTGGAGGCGATATTATGCAGGCTGCCTCGATCCTTTGTGCAAAAGGCGGGATATAACTTTACGCCCAGCCACACTTGGTCTAGAGTCTTTCAGATTGCTGCCGGGTGGACTCCGATGTCCATCATCCCCAGCCAGCACTTTTAACAACATTGGTTAGATGTAATTTTTGCTGTAAAATTTGGGGTGGACACCTTTTGAATGGTGTGGGAGGAGCAATGGATTTCCAGAGGAAAAATCGCAGACTATAGGAACCACCTGCACTACTCAGATGAGCCTGAGGACATAGATGAACCTCCAAGTGGCCTCAACGACCCTCTAAAAGGATGCAAATGACCAGCTTGTCTTCAAGGAATATAAATTATTCCATTCCCCCCACTATTTTGTCAGAGCTGAAGAAGCCTCTTGGATGAGAAGCGAAACATCTTCAAAAGAAAAAAGAAAACCAAGAAAGTCCAGTTACCTCCCGAAAAAAAGCATCTTTGGGACATCCGTGACCTGGATGACTGAGAATCTCTACAGATTTTTAGCTATACAATTTGTGATGAACACCCTTTGAATGGTATCGGAGTAGGAATGGATTTCCAGAGGAAAAATCGCAGACTTCAGGAACCAGGAGCACCACTCAGGTGACTCTGAGGACACAGATAGACCTCCAAGTGGCCTCAGCAACCCTCTAAAAAAGGATGCAATTGACCAGCTGTCTGCAAGGAGTATCAATCTGTCCGTTCCCCACCATCCTGTCAGAGCTGAAGAAGCTTCTTGGATGAGAAGCGAAACATCTTCAAAAGAAAAAAACAAGAAAAAGTCCAGTTGCCTTCTGAAAAAGCACCTTTGGGATAACCATGACCTGGATGACTGAGAATGTCTACACACTTTAACTACAGTTATTGAGGCAGCAGATTTTCTCTTGTCTAAAGGCCTCACTGTGTTGGGAACACCTGAGTGAGAACTTGTGGGCAGACAGAAATCGAACTGGTACGGATTTCTGTGTCTAGAGGGAATCTAAATAAAGTGTGCTTTCAGGAAGAGCGTGATAGATTTCCAAGAAAAATGCCAGCATTAAAATGTCTCTGTTTTTGTCTTTCAGGAAATCAGACTTCCTCTTCCAGGGGACGGATTTAAACTGGATTTCCTCAAACTTGGCTCTCTCCAGTTATGTTAGACCCAGCTTCTTTCACCCCCATTATCTAGGAAGAAAGAGGGTAGAACACATTTTTCTTCCATCTGGCAATTTCTGGTGAGCTATCCATTCATTTTGTCTTTTTCCCCAGAGCCCCTGGGTATTAACAGGGTTAATATCATTGCACAAGCAGAGTGAATGTAACATCATCACAAACAGTGCGAACAGGCAGTTTAATGGGATTAACTACATAGCCCACAAGCTGCACTTGACTGTGGATAGTTAATGTGGGAACCATTCCATGTCAGGTTATAGCAATAGCACTTAGACTTACATACCGTTTTATAGTGCTTTACAGCCCTCTCCAAGCAGTTTACAGAGTCAGCATATTGCCCCCAACAATCTGGCTCCTCATTTTTCCCTCCTCGGAAGCATGGAAGGCTGAGTCAATCTTGAGCCTGGTGGGATTTGAACTGCCAAATTTCAGGCAGCCAGCAGTCAGCTGAGGTTGTCTCTGATATTGTTACAGGTAGTCCTTGACTTACGACCATAATTGAGCCCAACATTTCTGTTACTAAGCAAAATACATATTAAGTGAGTTTTGTCCCACTTTTTTAACCTTTCTTGCCACAGCGGTTAGGTGAATCATTGCAGTTAAGTTAGTCTGTTTACCCCATTGACTTTACTCGTCAGAAGGTCACAAAAGGTGATCACATGACCCCAGGACACTGCAACCGTTATAAAGATGAGTCAGTTGCCCAAGAGTCTGAATTTTGATCATGTGACCCCGGGGATCCTGCAACAGATGTAAGGGTGAAAAACAGGCATAAGTCACTTTTTTTCCAGTGCAGCTGTAACTTTGGTCACTAAACAAAGAGTTGTGAGTCAAGGTCTACCTGTATCGACAAGACTTTAACAGTGCTGGTTTACTACACTGCTGTATGGCTGGGAGACCAATTCAGGTTGAGCTCCATATACTCCTGATCTCTTGGTATGTCTCCACCTGCTGGAACTACCTCTACCTGTTGTTCATGGCTGCATGGCTTCTTAAGGCACTCAGCTGTGTATCGCTTCAACTTCCAGGAATGGAGACTCGTAGCTAAAGCAGTTTGTATGTTTCACCCATTCTCAGTGGTGAATTTTTAAAATGCTAAACCGGGTTCTTTCACTGAAAGAAAAAGAAAAAGAGATCAGATGGTTAGATTGTGTTGTTTTAGGCGCAATTTGGGAGAACATCAGGAGACCGAGGAGGACAGAAGAGGAGCATGATGTGCTGTGGTCCATGGGGTCACAGAGTTGAACATGTCTTAGCGACTGAACAACAACAGGTTCTTTCTTCTTAGAAAGGGCCCCCTGTTAACACCAAAAGAAGCTGGGCTCCTAGGACAGAAGAGCTGTGGAATCCTTATTTATTTATTTATTTTTATTTTATTCGGTTTGTCAATTGCTTACAAGAAAATAGGTATAAGTAAAAACAAAATTATGGATACATATAAGAAAAATAAAAGAAACAATAGGACAGGGACAGTAGGCACTTGAGGCGTTTATGCACGCCCCCTACAGGCCTCTTAGGGAAGGGGTGAGGTCAATAGTAGAGAGTCTGAGGTTAAAGTTTTTGGGGTTTGGGGAAGAAACCACAGAGTCAGGTAGAGGATTCCAGACATTGACCACTCTGTTGCTGAAGTCGTATTTCCTGCAATCAAGTTTGGTGCGATTAACCTTGAGTTTGTATTTATTGTGTGCTCTTGTATTGTTATTGTTGAAGCTGAAGTATTCATTGACAGGTAGGACATTGCAATGTATGATTTTATATACCATACTTAGATCAGACTGAAGACGGCGTAATTCAAGGTTTTCTAGTTCTAGAATTTCAAATCTGGTGGCATAAGGTATTTTGCAACAAGTAGAGGAGTGGAGAACTCTTTTTGTGAAATATTTCTGAACTTTCTCAACTGTTAATATCAGATACGTAATGTGGGTTCCAGACTGATGAGCTGTATTCGAGTATTGGTCTAGCAAATGTTTTGTATGCTCTAGTTATTAGTGGAATATTACCAGAGAAAAAGCTATGTAAGATTAGGTTAACAACTCTTAATGCCTTTTTGGCTATGTAGTTACAGTGGGCTCTAGTACTTAGGTCATTAGAGATGAGTACTCCAAGATCCTTGACAGAGTTTGGATCATCAACAAGGTCTTGACTATTCAGCCTGTATTTTATTTTCTGATTTTTTTTGCCAATATGTAGGACAGAGCATTGATTTGTTGAGATTTGAAGTTGTCATTTGTTTGACCATTCTGATACATAGTCAGGGTCATTTTGGAAGGTAGCAGTATTGTCTGTGGAGTTGAATAACTTTACATCATCAGCAAAGAGAACGCAGTTGCTCTTGATATGATCACAGAGGTCATTTATGTAGAGAATGAAGAGAGTTGGTCCTAGAACACTGCCTTGGAGGACACCACTGTTGACAGCTACAGAATCTGATAGGACGCTCCCAATTTTGATCATGTGTTGTCTGTTTGACAGGAATGTTTCTATCCAGTTATGCAGGTTTCCAGAGATAACATAATATTTTAGTTTTAGGAGTAGTTTGTCATGTACCACTGAATCAAAGGCTTTACAGAAGTCTATATAGATTGCGTCTATTGCTTTGCCCTGATCGAGTTGTGTAGTCCATATGTTTTTGCAGTGTAAGAGTTGCAGATTGCAGGATAGTTTTTTTCTGAAACCAAATTGTTTATTAGAGAGTAGGTTGTTTGTCTCTAAGTGGAGAATAATGGATTGGTTAATAATTGATTCCATTTTTATTATTTATTATTATTATTATTTTTATTATTGGAGGTATTGCAGTCCGCAGTGACTGAAACTCTTTGATTTCCGGGCAAGCCTTTACATGAAGACAGGGGAAGGGGGAATGAATGAATGCAGACCATTTCCCCAGGGTAGAAAGTTCTAGGTCCAGAGTTAGTCCAAACGAAGTGCAGAAGACTAGATCACAACTAGGAGGAGAGAGTAGTCCATCCAAAAAGATGCTTGGAATTTTTACAGATTTTCTAGGCAGGCCTAAACATACCAGTTTCTACTCGAGCAGCCTAGGTGGCACATTG